GCTGGAGTGTGCCTGCACAGCACTTTTGCTCCTCTCTGTGACTGTGCTGCGTTGCCGTTGTGAGCATCGAGGCTCGGGAGCTCTCAGTGTGATCCTGTGGTGTGATGTGCCTGCAGCATTGACTCATGTGCCATAACCTGATATTGAATGCATTGTTTTTAAATAAAATGGTTTCTTGTGCACTGGGAGTCTGTAAAACTCCACTGCCTCTGCTTCTTCCTTGTTATTATTTCCCGAACTGCTCAGGGCCACTGATAGGTTTTACTGGAAAACTTCACCAGAGGAGTTGCCAAAAGTGTTGCTTAATGCTCCCTATATTTCATTACTCAGTGCAACAAGCTTGGTGTGATGGATCAAATTCTGCGCTCCTGTAAAATATGTGAAGATGAAAAGTGTGGAATGTGGGCACAGATTGGCTCAGGGTATTTGCTCATTAAGGTGAATTACATCCCTGGGAACATCTTACAGCCCACTGCTGTTACTTGTTGCAGGCGACCTGCTGCCTGCTCCAGCACTGTAGTGTCCTCAGTGGCTCCTGGCAGGAATTCTGCTGTGTGTTTTTAGGAGTTAACATGAACTCCCAGGAGCAGAGCCATGCCAGATCCTCTGTCTGTGTTTGTGTGTTTCTCACCACTAATACCCACTACAGCTCACATATTTATCCCTGAGACCATCCTGGCAGAGAGGCAGGGATTTATAATCCTGTAACCCAGTTTGGGGATGGAGATGGGATAGGAAAAACCTTTTCCTTCCTCTTGCACTGGTAAATGTGAGGAAGGCTCTGCTGGCCATTAGTGCTGGGGCTGGAGGGTGCCAATGACCAGTGTGGGTTGAACCCCCCCACTCCATGTCCAGCTCTGCCTCCATCCCTGGAAAGGGGTCCTGAGGGGATGAAGCTGCTCCCTCTGAACGGGCCTGTGACAGCAGTTTCAAATGACAAAGAAAACACTTGCAATGTTTGTTTAAAAGCAGGTGAAAACTACATCTGCAGGCCCTGGCCAGCTGATGACAGCTTCTTTAGAGGAGAAGTCCCTGTGCCTGTGACACTGAGGTGTCACCCTGGAGTCACCCTTTCCTGCATGATTTGGGTCAGGTGCCAGGCGTGGGTGCTGCAGGACACTACAGAGACAAACCCCAGAGAACAAAAGATGAGAGGAATTACATTTCCTATTCCCAGGAGAGTCACAGCCCAAACCAGGAGGATACTGGACAAGAAAGCTCAGCCAGGCCGGGTCAACCCCCTAGTTTGTCCCACCCTGCCATCCCTGGACACCCCACTGCTGCCTCTTTGTGGGGAGCAAGGGCACCTGGCTGTGGTGCGGGGAGGCCCCACTGCAGGCAGAAGGAGAAGGAAAGCTAACAAAGAAACCCCCTCCTCCCTCCCCCAAGAGCAAGGGAAAGCCTCTGGCAAAGGCAGCCATGCAGGCAGGGAACGCTGTCCCGCTGGGCAGCCCAAGCTCGCTGGGCTGGAAACAGCAGCAGCAGCCTCCTGGCTTCCCAGCACTGCTCCTGCCCACTGTGCCCAGCTGCCAGCTCAGCTGCACCTTGTCCTGCCTGGGTGACAAAGGACACCCAGCACCCTCCTGCCTCTGAGGGCAGGCACAGCCCCATCAGATTGGACCTTCGGGTACAACTGACCATGCATGGATATTTACACCTCGATTCCCAGGAAGATTTTAATGCGAATTTGGAAAGACACCAGAATTAGACACTACAGTGTGTAACAAAACATCGTCAGAGCATGCAGCCCTCAGGTGCAGGTTTGGAAAGAAAAAGTCAAAGGCCTGATAATGTGTTGGAGAAGGAAAAGGCAAGGCATGAGGAAAAGAGAGGAAAAGGGAGGACACAGACACCAGCACATCTGCTGCACCAGATTCCCATCAGGATCTGCCCACCCACCCTCCTCCCGCCTGCCCACAGAGGAACCTCCATCTCAGGAGCGCTGCACTCGCCTCTTTTCTCCCCAAATCAAGTGCAACTTTTGCCTTCCTTTAGGAAGGACAAAAAGATTTCACGCATAAGTTGCCCTGAACAAAGGCACCTCACGCCAGGGCTTTTTTTTCTGTCTTCCTTTCTTTTTCCTTCACCACAAGCTGGCAGAGGGAGGAGTAGCTGGGGCTGGGGGAACTCCGCTTTATACCCGCCTGATTAGTGCCAAAAAGCAGCTCAGAAAACACCGTGAGCTCCAGAGACACTGTGATGGCAACGTGGAAAGAAATGGATCATTATCCATTGGGATCCAGTCTGTAGGGTAACTGGGTGCTGCCATACACAACCTGTTTGCAAGGAGATACCAGGTGCACTGGAGAGTGGTATAATCGAGAGTACAAAAGGTGACATTTCTCCCCATTTCCCTCTTTTAGTTACTGGAAAGACCCAGTGGAGGTGGGACGTTCACAAATACAGAGACGGTTATCAGGGACGAGCTAAGGATGACACGAAACTCAAGGACACGGCTGCTGGTATTGCTACGGATTAAAGGAGCGGGGAGAAGTAGTGAACTACACAGCAGCAGACACATCCCGACCCAGAGCCCTGGCACGGGTGCCCTGCACGGGCTGTGCCATAGCAGGCAAGTCGCCACTTGCCAGCTCCATGCCAGGGTTTGCTGCCCCTGGGGCCCTGAGCCCACTGGAGCCCTGAGCCCACTGGAGCCCTGAGCCCACAGGGGCCTGAGCCCACTGGGGCCCTGAGCCCACTGGGGCCCTGAGCCCACTGGGGCCCTGCCGCCTCTCCTCGGCCGCTCTCCCGTCCCTGTCCGCTCCCATCCGCCCTGCCCTGCCCGCTGAGCCGCGGTGCCAGCCCCAGCCGTGTGCCCTGCGGGGCTGAGGGGCGGCCCGGGGAACCGGCCCTTGCCTGGGGAGAGGGGAGAACGCCGGTGCGCGTGTGGCCCGGGGAGCAGGCCCCACAGCCACGGGGTGGCACGGACGGCGGGCTCCCGGGACTCACCACCCGCCCCCGGGAGAGGAACATCCCTCACGCCTTATTAACGAGCCCCAGTTCGCCGCATTAGGGCAACCAACAACCAACAGCACAGATCAGCGCTGTACCTCGGTTTGCAGCAGTGAACAAGGAAGGCAGCAGGGCCGGCTGTGTGCAGCGGGGCCCAGGGAGCCGTCGGCTGCGGGACCGGGGGTTGCGGAGCCGCCTGCCGAGAGGATCCGCATCCAGCACGGCGGATCTCCGTGGCGGCGGCACGGGAGGAGCCCCGGCCGCTGCCGAGGCCGGCTCCGGGCCGATCCCGGGGCGCTCCCGGCGGCCCCTCACGCCACAAAGGCGGCGGAACCTTTAACGGCCCCGCCGTCCCCTCACGTCCCCTCACGTCCCCTCACGGAGGCCACGCCCCCCGGCCCTCAGCCCGCCCATTTTCCGCGCGCTCGCCTTTCCCGCCCTTCCCACCGCCCTCACGCCCTCACGGCCGCCCGCCAGCGGCGTAAGCTCGGCCCCGCGGGCGCGGCCGGGGCGGGGCGGCCCCGGACAGCTCCCGCCGCCCGCAGACGGCGGCGGCGGCGGCGAGGCGAGGACATGGCGCGGGGCCGGCGCGGTGGGCCCGGCTGAGCCGCCGCTGCCCGCGGGGCGGGCGGCCCCGGGCCGCGGCGGCCGCCGCCCCGATGAGCGGATGAGGAGCGGGCGCGGCGGCCGGCGGTGCCTCGGCGGGGAACCGGGTGCGTGCGCCATGAACCCCGAGCTGGCGATGGAGCCGCTGGGCAGCCTGCACGGGGCGGCGGGGCACGAACCGGAGATGATGGGCAGCCCCAGCCCTCACCACGGCGGCCGCAGCGCGGGGCCGCTCCGGGTGCCGCCCCCCCCGCCGCCGCCGCCGCCGCCGCCGCCGCCGCCGCCGCCGCACCAGGAGCTGCCCCCCGCCGCCCGGCCCGCCATGGTGCCCAGCATGGCCTCGCTGCTGGACGGCGCCGCCGAGTACCGGCCCGAGCTCTCCATCCCGCTGCACCACGCCATGAGCGTGCCCTGCGAGGCCTCGCCGCCCGGCATGGGCATGAGCGGCACCTACACCACGCTGACGCCGCTCCAGCCCCTGCCGCCCATCTCCGCCGTCTCCGACAAGTTCCACCACCCGCATGCCCACCCGCACGCCCACCACCACCACCACCACCACCACCAGCGCCTGCCGGGCAGCGCCGGCGGCGGCTTCGCGCTCATGCGGGACGAGCGCGGGCTGCCGGCCGTCAACAGCCTTTACGGGCCCTACAAGGAGGTACCGCCCGTGGGGCAGAGCCTCTCCCCGCTGGGCAACGGGCTGGGCCCGCTCCCTGGCTCCCAGCAGGGCCTGCACGGCTACGGGCCGCCTGGCCACGACAAAATGCTGAGCCCCAACTTCGAGGCGCACGCGGCGATGCTGGCGCGGGGAGAGCAGCACCTGCCCCGGGGGCTGGGGACGCCCCCGGCCATGCTGCCGCCCCTGAACGGCGCGCACCACCCCGCGCCCCCCGGGCCGCCGCCGCCGCCGCACGGCCCCGCGCTGCCCGCCGGCCGGGAGCGGCCGCCCCCCGCCGCCGGCCCGCAGGGGAGCGGCGCGGGGCAGCTGGAGGAGATCAACACCAAGGAGGTGGCACAAAGGATCACGGCGGAGCTGAAGCGCTACAGCATCCCGCAGGCCATCTTCGCCCAGCGAGTGCTGTGCCGCTCCCAGGGGACCCTCTCGGACTTGCTGCGGAACCCCAAGCCTTGGAGTAAACTCAAGTCCGGCCGGGAGACGTTCCGCAGGATGTGGAAGTGGCTGCAGGAGCCGGAGTTCCAGAGGATGTCTGCCCTGCGGCTAGCAGGTAAGTGCGAGCCGGTGCCGCGCGGGGAACGGATCGCGGATCTTGGAGCGCAGCGCATCCCCGGCAGCTTCTCCGCTCCGCGCTCCGCCGTGCTATCCGCGGGGCTGTGCGGAGCTAGCCGGCCCCCGCCTCCCGCAGAGCCGACATCGCGCACCCCGGCTCTGTCCGGTGGGGCTTGTGCGGGGCTCGGGGCCGGCGGAGGGGCGCGCTCCGCTGCCACTGCCGGGCGGCGGGGCCGGGGCCGCTCTCCAGAGCCGGGTGCTGAAGGTGCGCATGCCGCACCGCACCGCGCTCTCCGTGAGCGTACCTCCTGCGGCTGCCGGAGCTGCCGGGCGCAGCGGCGGGGCCGGGCGGGGGACCCGCGTCCCGGGACAGGTGGGGTCGGTGGGAGCGGGCGGGGGCCGGACCCCGCGCGGCCCCCGCGGCCCCGGCCCGGCCGCATTGTCCGCGGCGGGCGCGCGGGCGCCCCCTGGCGCGGTCGCGGAGCGCCGCAGCCCCCATTGTTCTGCGGGGGCCGCGGGGGGGCGGCGGGCAACGACCCCGGTACCGACCCCGGTATACCGACCCCGGTATACCGACCCCCGGCAGCGCCCGCACCGAGGGGCGCCGGACAGAGCCGGCGAGAGCTGTCCCTGCCGTGAGGCCGTGCGGGACGCGCCCGCGGCGCGGCAGGTGCCCGGAGGTGGCCCCCCGGCCGGTCCCGTGCGAGTGGGGACCGGGCCCCGCCGTGGAGCGCGGCCGCGGCTGCCTTCCCGCTGCCGGAATCCCCGCGGCCGTGGACGTGGGTGTAGAGGGACACGGGAGGCTGTGGCACGGGCAGAAACGCGTGGGACATTCCGCAGCGTGGGGCGGGGGCCAGGGGTCGGGGCGCTCTGCTCTGACAGCGATGAAAATCCTGGGATGTTTGTGCCACCGAGTCCGCCCTCTTATTTCAATTGATGCCGACGCGGGCAGATGGTTTCCCAGTGGGCAGGCACACAGTGGGCTGTTCCCAGGGCTGCCCGTTCTGCCGGGACACCCGGAGGGGTCTGAGGGGACACGGGGGTCTCTGCGGGAAGGAAGTGGGTACAGAGAGTTCCCGCACGAGGGGCAGCTGCCGGGAGAGGCTGGGATGCGGCGGAGCAGGGCGACCAGGAGCCATGGAAGATTGATGGCCTTAATCCATGCCCGACCTCTAAGCAGAGGTGCTGTGGGTTAAACACCCACGGCCTGGGGTCTCCAGAATCCCCGTGGGGAGTGCTCGGGCTTTCCCGAGCTGCGGGGCAGTCCCGGCTGTGCTGCCTTTCGGGAGAGGGACGCTGATCCCTTGCTCGGCTCTAGCGCCGACTGCAAACTCCTCGTTCCTTCCAGCACCCGCGGGCATCCGCTCTTCTCTGTCTGCCACCAAATTAAGGTGCCGGGGTCTGACAGGGGCGTCAGAGGGACAGAAGGGGTTTGAGATTTTTGCCGAGCACACGGTGATGTCGCCTTCACAAACAAACGTGTATCGAGAGGGAAATCGATGCAGATAATGTTTAGAAGATTAAAAGAGCATTAATGCTGGCAACAGGAGCATCAACGCGTGGACCCAGTTTTCATTGATCTGGAACCTGAGCCGGCTCATTTCCAGTAATGTGGCTGGTGCTTTTCCTTCCCAGCACTGGTCCCGGGTGGGGGTTCCCCGTGGAGCCCTGCATATAGAGCAGAAAATCAGGAATCGCAGCTGCATGCAGAGTTATGCCTGTATAATTCTGGATCTCTGCTTTACCAGCCCCCCCTGAATGCCTCTGCATCCAGGAGTAAAGTTTGGAGAGAGCTCAGGTGCTGAGTGGCTGTGGACTCCCCATGGAGTGGGAAAGACCTTTGCAAATTACCTTTCCCTTCAGGAAATCGATTATTTTAATTTCCTTTTATTACCACGTGTGAATATGCGGCCCTATTGCCTCAGTGCTTCCTTCTCCCCGTTTACTCGCTTGCTTAAATCCCTCTGAGCACGGAGGAAAAAGCCACAGCTATTTCAGGTTTTTAAAAAGAAACAATACCCGCCAGCTATTTGCCCCATTCTCCTGGCATTTTTTCCCAATTGGGGTGCAAATCTGCTGTCTTTGAAGGGAAATCCCCCTCTTCCTGTGGGAGCAGTAGCAATGTGGGTGTGCTTAGTATTATTACAGACGATATATAGTATTGTCTATCCTAATCTAGCCTAATCTAATTTAATAGTATTCTTCCTGTGCTTACTGTCTTTTCTCGGGGGTCTTTAGGACTCCCCTGTCAGGCTGTCAGGGGCGGCGCTGCGGTTTCTGTGCGGGAAGGTGCGGGCAGGACCCGCTGTGCTCGGGGAGTTCCGTGGGCGCTCTGGGGCTCCGGGGCAGAGCGTTCTTTTGGGTTCCCTCGCCCCGTGTCTGGCTGTGCCTGCAGCCTGCCGAAGCGGCGGGTGCTGCCCCGGGGCACACCGGGGGCTTTGGGGAGGGTCGCAACACGCTTTTGCCGTAAAACCACCCCGAGGGCGGCATCAGCCCGGGACCGGGTGCCCAGACCGGGCGGGCGGGAAGGCTTCGGGAAAGCCCCGGCGGAACGACGGACAATCCCTACATTTCTGCGGGGTCAGCAGAGCGCTCCGCCGCCTGTTTGCCTTCTGCGGTAGCGGAGCGCCTTATTGATGAGTAAACACCTTCGTACCCAAAGCGCCATCAGCGGCTGGCTTGTGCGGAGCTGCCCGATGCTCGCTCCTGCTCAGAGCTCCGAGCACCACGGAGAGCGGCGGAGAGGGACGAGAGCGGGGCCGGAGAGAAGGGAGGGAGGCGGCCGCGGGCTCTCCGTGGCCCCGGCCCGGCAGTGCCACATCCCAGGGCCGAGCCCCTGCCACCCCCGAGGGCTCTCACAGTGAGGAGTGGGCTGTGGACAGCTGTCCACCCACCCTCTGCCTCTTTGTGCCCTATCAAATGTTTCTTCCCTGGATTTTGAGACTATTCTGTTGTCTGTCTCCCCAGCTAAAAATGAAGGCATGATAATAGCTGTATCAGGCACGTTATGTGTTTATAAAGCTATTTCTTAGCGTTGAACTAAATATACAGGTATGTAAAGGTTCTTTGAAAGGTGCTTAGTGGCTTGAAATATTGGTGCTCTCTTCAGCTATAGATTAGTGGTTGTGTTTGAACAATCCATGCGGTAAGTTGTGGTGCCAGCTGATAAATTCTATTTCTCGTGTACCAACTTTCCGAAATAATACCTTGCCCCAGCTCTTTGTCCCCCATCATTTCTGAAGGCGTTTCTGCCACACAGAAATTTGAATCCTGTTTTTGCAAAGCGAACGAGTTTTATCAGTTTCTTGATATTTGATGAAGTCAATTCTGAGTACGTTTTGGATTAAACGTATTTCTATATTTTACCCCCTATTTTTTAAAAGAAACGATTAATTGGTCATCATGTGTTGCTCATACTGAAGCTGTTCTTCACTATTTCCCTGTAAGATTTTTCCCTCCAGCATCTCTTTTTTACCCTTTATCTCTTGCCCATCACTGTTTGAACTGAAATATCCCAAACTCAAGTATTCCTCTGCAGCTGAAAATAGCCACAATTTATTTGTGGCAAGGAATGCATAAAGGGGAGAACATTTTTGCCAAAAGGATTCTTTCCCAGTAACTGGTGTCAGTTCTTCTCACTCTCTGTAGGAGCGTCTTCGCTGTGCGCTGTGGCCCCGGGTGCTCATCCTTGGTGCTCCTCCCTGGTGTTATTCACAAAACCTCGTCCTGGGTGTTGCTGCCATCCAGCAGCTGCAAGAGCCTTTCCTTCCCTTCCAATTAGCCATTACGGGGAGATGACAAGCTGCCTGCAGTACCCAACGCGGCTGTGCCGAGCCTGCAGCACTAAAGGCGGCAGACTCCTCATCAGAGCAGCTCCCCTGGAGCTGCCTTCAGAGTGCAGGCGGGCTCTGCAGGTGTGCAGAGAATGGATCTCAGAGGGAAAGCAGGCTTGAAAGGGACTGCAGGCATCACTTGTCCTGACGGTCTTCCCCTTTCTTTCTTCAGGATCTCCAGAGGGGGATTTTTTACCTAAGCTATCTCTTCCAGGGCTTACAGGTACCAAAAACCCCTTAATGACTGGCCTTAATCTCACTTTTTGTCTTTTAAACCCTTTGCTTCTCATCTTATCCCCACTAGGCACAGCGAAGAAGAGCACTCCCTTCCCTCTGATAGCAATCTGTTTGTATTTAAGGCTCCCATCTTGTCTCCTGTCTTCTCTGGAAAAAGCCCATCATACCTGGGCAATGAATATGCAGGGAAAGCACTATATCCAACGGGACAGATAATACATCTCTTTTTCCAAGGTAAAAGATTTTGTATCCAGCTCTATCAATCTTGCAGACTTTTACATAAAAGACTCTCTGATTTATAGAGGGGTTTGCACACAGAAATCATACCAAACAGACTCATCTCAAATGGGTTTTGGTGATAACATCAGCCAGACAACTCGCTGATGGCAGAGAGAAATGCAATCAAAAAAGAAATTGGAGTGTTTTGGGGTTGTTTGGGGGTTTTGAGCTATAAAATCAAACTGCTCCATTGTGAAAAAAAGGGACTCAAACCACTGGTAAATGCTGCTCAGAAGAATTATTAGACAAGTGATAGAAGCTGGCAGCTTCCCAAAACGCAAATTGTCTCCAAGACCAAAATATCTCTCAGTAAGCAGGGAACATATTTATGAGCAGTGGTGATTTTCCAGCAGTTCTCATCCCCTCATAATGGGATGGGAGCATGGGGCCTGTGCCGAGGCATTAAGCTTTGGCAAGCAGCACTGGGCTGCAGGAGGTGAAAAAAGAGCAGAGGAGGTCTTCCTTGGAGACCTTCCCACACACCTTCTCCTCCGTGTTGAGAGGAAAAAATCAGGTGGGGTACCAAGAGAACACCTTCCTGGCTGGAAACGGCCAGGCTGCGAACGTCTTTCTCGGAGCATTGCAGGAATCCCTGGATCTCCAAACAGGGAACACCTCACCATTACAATGGATGAGCAAGCAGATCTTCTCTGGAAGAACAGAATGAACTTGGTGCTACACATCCAATCTGCTTTTCTGGCTACATGCCAATCAAGGGCATTCCTAGGGTTTCAAACATTAGGAGTTGGGTGCGTGTGCAGCAGCTGGGATGAGCAACACTGGCTGTCCACCCCGACAATGTGATTATTTGCATCTTCATTCTGATTGCTCCTTGTTCCATAATGATTTTGTACACAGCGGAGTACTTAACCTAATTTGTATTGATCTCAATCGCTCTCATTCGTGCATACTTAATTCAGAGAGGTAATCAAATTGATTTCTGAGGCCTAGTTTTTAAGAGATTGTAGTAACAGGTATATAGAAGGGGTTGCTTTAAGTGAATCACAGCAAAAGGAAAACATTTTAAATCTTTAGAAAATGCTTTGATGGTCATTTCATTGTGCTCAGTATTACCAGAGTAATTACATTTCCCTCACATTGAGTCTCTCCAAAATTGAATAGAGGAGCAGTTTTAGTTCCATCAAACAGATAACTGGGTTTGGGTGACTTTGCACCCACACAAACCACACAGGCTGGATCGATATTCACGGCTTGTCCTTAGAACAACGGAGACTGAGGACACGCTGCTGGGTTAAGGGAATATTGGTCTCTGCTTGGCTCCTTCTTAGCACCTGCTCTTTGTTTGGGTGGCTGCAGAGTCACTTTTGCTGTTAGTTAAAACATCCAGACCCAGAGGGGCACAGGAGCTGTGCTGGGGATGTTTCCCAGGATCCCAGCAAGTGGCTCTGCTTCTCCCAGGGCTGCTCGGGCACTGCTCTGGCCCCTGGGACCCCTCCCAGGCCTCTTCCTCCTTCTGGTGCTGGTGACCTTTGTGTCCTCATCTCTGTCTCCCTCCTGGAGAAGGGTAGGAGCTGAGGGATGCCCTGGATCATCCCTGCCCCATGCTTGAGGGCTCACAGGGTGGGATTGAGCTGTGCACTAGAGCTTCTAGATATTTTTCAGGATTTCTGGCTGTTTGGAATGCCTGGCCTGGCTAGGTTCCCCTCTTGTGAGGGAGTAAATGGAAAATCAGAGTCATTGTTGCAGAAAGTCAGACAAATGAACTCTTAGTAAGAAAATTCGGTGTGATGATACTCAGGGTGTCACAGTGCAGTGTCAGGACACTGCACCCTCTTAATGCCCTTCAAGTCGTGGGGCACCACTTTAGTCTCCGCTATGGGAGACACCACTGACCCCAGTTCTGAGCAATTCCTCTATTGTTTCTATTGAAAAGCATCTTTAATCCAATGCAGAAGAAAAATCTTTTCTTTTATATTTTTAGGTATATTTTTTCCACAGTTACGGTTTTCAGTTCCTGCTGGTTGTCCATTTGCTTTCATGGGGTATGTTCAGGTTTAACCACATCTAATAAATCAAATTGTGCTTAGAATCCAGATGGTCTCTTCCCTTCCCTCTGCTGTTAAAACCTTTCTCTTTCTTCCTGGAAAATCACTTGATTTTATTAGAGTGCTCACCCCATTTTTCTCTGCTGAGAGATGCACGTCAGGTGCAGCGTTTGTCTTTGTGGGGCCTTTTCAAGAGCAAACTCCACAGTTCAAGGGAAGTATTTACCGAATGCATCAAAAAGCACATACCTCTGCATTATTTATTATCAGATACCAATAACTGTAAAACGCAGAGTATCTCAGGACATAAATTAGTGATGGAAGGAAACACTCCACTCGTCCCAGTGTCCCGGAACCGATTAGAAGCTGCAGCAGAGATGCTGGTGGCTCACCACGTGCCCAGCACCGGGGACATCGCCAGATAATGTCCTCGGAGAGGTGAGCCTAGCCTTTGGGGCACAGGTGCAGGCTCACCTTGCTGCCTCTGGCGTGTCCAGCTGGGAGCATCCCTGCTGCTTCCTGCTGGCCTGGCTCCCAGCCGGAGCTCTGCGCTGGTGCCGCTGCTCCGGGAGGGTTGTGCTGGGAATGTTCACCACAGCCCCTGTCTGGGGTTCAGCCCGACTCTCAGGACCAGCCTTCTTTTGTGCTTTGGGGTATTTTGAGGTGTGATCTTCCCTTCCAGAGGCAGCTCTGCTGCAGGCACTGGAATTTGGCAGCTGAGAGGGGTCAGGGTCAGGCAGTCCAAGAAAATAATCCAGTTTCCTGCAGAAATGCTCTGAGGGACTATCCCTGCACGGAAGGAGGCAGTCAGTGCCACGGTTCCACATAGGTACAGCCCTGACTGGGTTAATTACAGACATTTCCACAGCCTGACTTTTACTTTTGGGCCAGCTTCATTTCACATTCCAGACCTGCAGAATTATTTAACAGGGCTGCTTAAAACCCGCCCGCTTATCAATTCTCTGGGCTCATTTTGTCCCAGCACATTACCTAACCATGTCAACATATGGATTTTCTCTCTGTGCCCGGTGCAGACGGCCTGGGCAGGCTATTTTTAAGTGTGGGTGTGCTCCGGCAGCGGTATTGGTTTCAGCACTTGCTGTTCTCTCTCTGCTAATAAATACAGAGCAGCTATTAATACCAGTGGGTTTTCGGATCCATTAGCATCGCTCAGGCATGGTCCAGCACTGCTGCCCTGTGTGACCTGAGCTCTGATGAGTGCTTCTGCCTGGCTTCACCCTCGGGACAAGCCCCAGGAGGGGGGACAGGCGCTGGGAGCGGTGCCCTGGGTGGTGGCACTGCAGGAGTCACGGAGGAGCAGGGCCAGGTGAGCCAGTGCCTGCCCTGGGAGGCCAAGGAGTCCGTGGTGCTTTTTCCCCCTTGGTGCTCACACAAAATTGCTGCTACCGGAGCTTTGACTGGGGTTTGCTTTGGGCTGTTTAAAGGGACAGGACCTAGGTACAGCTGTTATTCCTGGCTATTGAGAGGTTTTGGGGATATAACAGCAACGCAGCCAACTGGCTTCCTCTGGGAGCCCTCCGGTCCCATGTGCCAGAGTGGTGCTGGCTCAGGTGGTGACACTTGCCCCCGCCATGTGACAGTGCCTGCCATTGGGGTGGCTGGCGGGGTCTGTGGGCACCACCCTGACACTTTCTCTCTGTCTCTGCCATCCCCTCCCAGCCTGCAAACGCAAAGAGCAAGAGCCCAACAAAGAGCGGAACAACTCCCAGAAGAAATCCCGCCTGGTTTTCACGGACCTCCAGCGCCGAACGCTTTTTGCCATCTTCAAGGAGAACAAGCGTCCCTCCAAAGAAATGCAGATCACCATCTCCCAGCAGCTGGGCCTGGAGCTCACCACCGTCAGCAACTTCTTCATGAACGCCCGCCGGCGCAGCCTGGAGAAGTGGCAGGATGACCTGAGCTCCGGGGGCTCCTCCTCGGCCCCCAGCACCTGCAGCAAGGCGTGAGGGGCGCGGCACGGACGGCACAGCGCGGAGAGAGCGGCCTGGCAGCAGGGTCCTCGCTGGAGACTAAAGCACAATCCCCCCCCACCGCCGCCAAGCCCAGCCCAGCTGTTCCCCAGGACATTCCTACGGCTTCTCGTCAGTCTTAGCAGGCGCAGGCTCCACATTAACCTCTCTCCACACCATACTATGCTCAGGACAGGCGAAGCAGGTCTGAAACGTAGGGGAGTTGTTCGTGAGGCAGGTTTCTCCTGAGCCCCAGGTTTCTGTGGCCGGCGGGAGCTGCTGCCAGCCCGGCAGCCTCCCATGCCCGGCGCCTGCCGTGTGCTGGCCACACCACCCTGCGGCCGCAAGACAGCGGAGCACAAAGTCGGATACCAAAAACCCAAGACCCTGTTTTTAAACTCAGGCATGGTTTTTTGTTAAGCGTTTTAGGGAAAAAAAAAACACCAATCAGATTTAAGGTTTCTTTCGGTTGTTTTTTTAGTTGAATTTAATCCGCTTGTTCTTGGATCAGAAAAGTTCAGTTCTCTTGAGCTCAAAGTATCAAGCACAAAGCCGGTAGCTACAGCCACGGTCCGGCCCTGGGCTGCCCAGGGCGGCTGTGCCAGCTGCAGCCTGACATCCCGGGAACACCGCGGAGACGGCACGAGCCTCAAGCACAGCTGGCAGTTCCTCACAAGCTCTGTGCTTGTACCTAATGCACACTCAGGAGGTCGGTGGAACTGCTACAGTTCATGCAGCAAACACAATGTTTTGGAAGACTTAGATTAATTTATATTGTTGCATCCTTTTTAGTTTCTGGGAATCTTGTTTCTCCTCGGCAACGGTTGTTACCGAAACCTCTCAGCGTTCGGTGTATTTTTTTGTTCATTTTATCAGTATTTGATGGTACTTTCAAGCAGGAAAAGAAACGGAAACAAGCCCTTCAGATGCCACTGACCATTTCAGATGTGCCACGTTTAGCTCTATTGCATCCCTAAGTTCCTTTTCCCTGCCGGCTCCCCGAGCCGGCAGGAACACAGCACACCAAAGAGACAGGATTTCTGCAAGCCAAAGATGTTTATAACTTGCCATTTCTCTTTGTGGTCGCTGGTGCGGGTGGTTGGCTGGCGCTGGGGAAGCCTGGCAAGCTCCACGGCCTCTCTCCAGCTCCGTGCAGCGGAGCCGCCCTGGAGGCGGCGCAGCGGCCGCTGGCTGGTGACCGGCCTGGGCGGCCGTCAGAGACACTTGAGACTTTTTTATGTACTACTTAATCGAAACCAAAGAAACGTTTTCTGCACCTACTTCTTCTGCAACAAACTGTTCCATTGAAAGATAAAGTAAAAATTTAAAAAAAAAAACCAAGGAAGCATGTCAGGAAGCAAATGAGTCCCACACTGTGTTCTACAGACATCTTGGACATTTTCGGAAGCAGATCTCAAAGAAAGGGTTGACAAGGATGAGAACAAAGCAAAGCCACTACAATTGCTGCTTCATTTGACAACTCAAGTCATCTTAAAGTTGAAGATTGTCTTTAATTTGTGCCTATGCAGTTTTTTTCAAAAGAACAAGGAACAGAGCAACCAAAACCTCAACAGCTACAATACCAAAGATGAGGATTCTCACTACTTGTGTTTCAGTTTGTTTCTCCTCTTGCACGACTAATGCACATAGTCCCACTGTTCTCTGGACAGGTAACCGCTCGTGAGGCTTTGTGCAACCAGAAGGGTGGGTTTCTTTATTCACGTTTCCCCTGTTTCTGCCCCGCGTGCATCTCTCCGAGAGCTGCATGGACTCCAAGTGCAGGATGTTGGGATACTGTCCTGGTGCATCTCTCCCTCCAGGAAACACTTGTGGGTTGGCTGTGACTTGTGCGTTGGTCTCCTGTGTGTCTGGAGCTGTGAACAGCCACCCTCCTGCGCGTGACATCAGTGGAGTGACCTCCACCCTTCTTTCTCCTCCCCAGGGATAAAACTTGCAATATGTGTGTTCCCATCTCTGTCACTGTGAGTGCTGAGCAGCACACCAGCCTGGCTCCAAACCTCCACCTGAACCAAACCCAAGATTCAGCAGTTCGTGGGGCAGTTCAGGGGTTGCTTCTGACCTATTAGCATTGTAATGTTGTTTGATCCAGGTCTTGATGATCCAGATCATGACGTGCCCAAATTTATCCTCAGAGCCAAAGCACGTGTTGCTCCTCTCTGCCTTTAAACAAGGGCTTCATTTTAATTGCTTCACAGAACTGCTGCAGTCACTTTCTAATGACTGTACTTAAAATCGAAATCAAGGAGCCTCATCTGCTCAGGACATGAAAAGTTTCTGGAAAGCAAATTCAGGATCCTCACAGCTGAATTGACAGCATGTGCCTGCTCTGGGGATCAAAGGATCCTTTGGCAGATACCAAAGAGGTTTGGAGGATCCTTGCAGCCAGACATGGAATAAAGTTGCTAAAAATGGTCTCAATCTGTGTTGCTGTGTCCTGAGGGCTCCTAACCCAAATGCCAGAGATTTGAGTGCAGAGTTTGGAGCCATCAGGCTGTGGAGCAGGGCCCAGCTCAAGTTTCACTTTCATTCCCACCTAAGTGTCCATCAATCCAGCCCCTGCTGCGTTTTGAACTCGGCATTGCCCTCAGGGGAGCTGTCTCTGTCCCCCTGCAATCTGCAGTGGCAGGGGATGACACAGGACCAGTGAAAACCCCAGTGCTCCTTCCTCACCTCCCCTTCCTGCGGGGAAGTGCGTTGTATCCCACAGGGAAAGAGCCCCAGGCATCCTCTGAGCATGTGGGACGCCTCACTGAGGCTCACCTCACCCAGGGGACACTCTGGATCCTGAGGGACATCCAGATTGCCACAGCTCTGCCTCCCACCTTCCCCAGACGCAGAGGGGAGCTGCCCACAGCTTCTGGTGAAGCCTGGGAGCAAAGAGCTGGGCTTTTTGCTCCTGCTCAGAGCTCACCCAATAGCCCCAGCAAAGGAAGTTTAGATCAGGCACTGAAATACTTACAAATTTCTCCTCAGTGAAATTCTCTCCAAATTGTGGAAGTGTTCGTTACGCAGCACTGCCGAGTAGCAACGCGCACGAGATTTCTCTGGGCTGGGGCCTCAAACCTATCAATAGTCTCAGTCCATTTTCACCCTGCTGCAATTTTTTTATCCCTGCATCTCTTCATGGCCCTGTGTGACGTCCTCCATTTCACTGCCCACTCTCGTAGGCTTTCATGTAGCAGCTCCCTGAGACGAGGAGCGTCGGAGCAGACTGGGGTGGAGATACTGGTCCATGTAGGGCAAGGGGCTGTGCTCGCTCTGCCCACACCACACCAAACCCCAGCAGTTGTGTTCCACCTCCAGGCCCTGCCCTGAGGAATCTGTAGAGCTGCGTCGTGTAACTTGTCGCTTCATTTATTGCGCTGCGAAAGACTCGTGGGTGTACAGAGAGCATCTTCTGGACCAGGAACTTGGAGTCGCAAGCTTGGGCACAGCCGAGATGAATTCAGCTTTGAATGGAACAAAGGATGTGCTCGCTGACTCCGGCTGCAAAGCTTTACTGTGGATCTCTCTTACCTACAGCTGAACCCAAAGAGCTGCGGAGGACTCGGCCAGCGAGCTCGCTCCGCCCGCGGGAGGGCAGGGCTCTCCTCTCCCGAGGAAGGCACGGGAGCCACCCCGGATTGCAAAGCGCTGCCCTCGCTTGTCGCAATTCCCAAGTATTTTTGTGAGACGGGGAAACTTTCTACTTGGCCTCCTTGATATTTATTATGGGGAATTTTTATTGTTTGAATTTTTTGAAGAAGGCAAAGTTTAAAATGGTTTTATTTTTTTCCAGACGCCTGTGGGTTTTAACCCGATATATTATCTATCAATCATGTAATTTATTTAATTTAGTCTTAGGGCAGGTCCTGAGATCTCTGTTCAGTCTGAATCCCGCTGTGTTTCGGTTTAGCTTTAGAATTCAGTAAGAGTTTTGCCTGAATGTAGATGGGGGGGGTCAGGCTCTGATGTTAGCTATTTGTATCTATTTAGCTCAGCCATTTGTGAGTTCATTTGGGAGTAACTTTGCTTATTTATGCCTAGGACTGTTGTAGCGCATCGGGGATGCGAAGTCAGTAAATACCCTTCAGAGCTGGTATTGCTTGTAGAGCAGCCAGGTTCTGTCAGACAGGGGAAGAGCAACTCGTTCCATAAAGCATAAGCCTAGTTTTAATTCCTTCTTTTAATTCATTTTAATTGTTTAAATATCAACGTTTAAATTATTTAAGTTAATCCCTTCCCTCCTGATTAGAAAGTGTGATATACCTTTATTATGGCACATGAAGCCTTCATAATATAACTTATTTATTTAATTTATTCATCGTCAGCCGGGGATGCCCTTGTAGAGTTTTTATTTTTGAATTAGAGTTATCTATAAAGCACTACAGCTGATTTCCTGTAAGAACAGCAGAGCGAACTTTGAGGGCAAGCAATGAATATTCAACCTAAAAATGTGTGTTCAGAAAAACAGGAAAAAAAAAAAAAAAGACACTGGGATACTTTGCGTGAACTTTGTGGCTTCTTAAAACTTAAGCTGGGGAGAAAATAATTCATGCCAAGCAAAAAGAGAGAAACCCTTAAACTAGCTGCTTCCAAGAATGAACTTCTGTGTGTGGAAAAAAAAAAAAAAAAAAAAAAGAAAAAAAAAAAAAAAAAAAAAGGAAAAAAATACCTAGAAAAAAACTTTCTATTTCTAGTGAGAACCAAAGAGGCTACCTCACTGACTTTTCCATTTGTAATTTTAATCGTGTTGATGATACCAAAGATACCAAAGATTTCTTTCTCTGTGCGGTCTGCATTCTGCTTGTGCTCTCTGATAACTCCCACTGTTCTCTCCTACACCCAGAAACGTCCAGCAGAGCCCAGATTCCCAAAGAAACGCTACCCTGGAAGCTGCCAGTTCTGGTGATGCCCTTTTCTGTGTTCCTTTCTCCTTGCTGCCAGCCCGAAGCGCCCGGAGACCGTGGAGCTGTTCCCACTCCAGGGCCCGCCAGGGGAGCGGTTGTGTGGAGCTGGAGGTGACGCCGGCTTTTGGCCATGCGCAGATTCCCCGCGGAAAGGCTAATTATTATTATTATTATTATTATTATTATTATTATTATTATTATTATTGTGCTTGAGCAGAGCCCAGGGCTGGTGTGGGGCTGCAGAGCGTTCGTGCACGCATCCAGGAGCTGCTCCCTCTCCTCACCTTTGGTTGTTGTTTCCAATGGCCGTTTTCAGATAAAAACCAATTAATTACTTTTCTCAAGTTAGCAATGAAGTGAGGCTGCATTAAGCTCCATTAAGCATCACACGCTCCTGAGTGATGACTTCCAAGCTGTTTGGTTGTTTGGCCGGGGAATGAGCGGTGCCCTTTGGCACTTGGGTTTTGAGCCTGTGTTCTGCTGTTTCTGGGAGTGAAGCGGGGCTCCGAGGAGCCGATCCAGCCCTGGGCACTGCTCGCTCCCGAGCCCCAGCCCAGGCTGGGACAGCTGCTGCTGCTCGGGCCTTTCCCTGAGGAATCTGCCTGGGCCGTGCCCTTGGATTCACAGAGGTTACCCACAGCTCAGCACAAACGCTCCGCTTTAATGAACTGTTGCCTTTTATGTTGCATTTCTTTGGGGGTTTGAGTCTGTGTTGGAAACGGTAGGACTTGACAAGTGTGCTTTTCTCTCTGTCTCTGTGTTCCTTCAATACAAAGCTATAATAATTCTCAGGATGCCTTCCGGGCGCGGGGAGCCGATGTCCCTGTGCCCTCGGACACAGACAGTCCCCAGAGCTGGCAGGGTCCCCGCGGGCCCCCCCGACTCCTGCTTCACTTGCAAAGAGTGATGTTACCACGGGACGAGTGCCTTGCTTGAACCAAAGCAACGATTTTGCCAGTCTAGACCTCTCTGTGCTTTTTTTTATTCTTCCTGTGAATACCTCAGCTTCGACTGGGCCGCCGAATCGTACCTGGTGGGCTTTTGTACTGTGCTGCTTTGCAATGCAGCCCTGCAAAGAACAGATTCCTGATAATACATACCAAAGGCTCTCCTCTTCTTCCTCCTCCTCCTCCTCCTCCTCCTCCTGCCCCCTGTCCTTGATCTCTCTCTCTCCATGGTTCCAAAGCTTTATTATGAACTGGGCATGTTGGCAACGCAGACCGTGCAATCCCTTACCGAATTTTCTCAGATATACCTCATAGAGAATAGCTGTTTAGCGTAATGTTATTATAGCGTATGTAATAAATTATTCACTGTTCTTTTTGGTAACTGTGATTTAAAAGAAAAAAAACAGAAGAAGAAGCTTTATATGTTTTAGGTTGTGCTTTTGTACTAGACGGAGAAGGTGCGCTTAAAAATGTACGTCAGTCTTTCTTCCCGTTGGGTTTTTTTTGTTGTTATGGATCGGGGAAAAGTTGCAGAATGAGCCCAAAGTTTACAGTTTCATATTTTGCTGAAGAAACAATCTGTGTTCATTTGCTCTGTTGGAGAAAGAAAAAAAAAAAAAAAAAAAAAAAAAGAAAAAAAAATTAAAAAAAAAAAAAAAAAAAACAAAACCCAACAAGAGAAAAAAAAAAAAAAAAAGAAAAAAAGAGGAAAAAAATTATTTTCTACATTCGTGCTACTTGGTCTGAAGAGCTGATTGTCCTGTGTGACGGTGTAGTATTATAATTAGCAACTGCCAATCAGCGCTCCCATGTTTATGCATGAGGCAAACCCTTAGCAGTGTGATGCATCGTGGTTCTTAATGGCAACTTCTTCCTTTGGGTTTGGGACGAGGTCTTTGGGTTGATGGTGTTTATTTATGCATGGAGCCTGTTAGCTGTTCGTGGCGCAGTTGTGTTTGCATTGACGCTGTGAAATCACGCCCAGTTTCGCCCCGTGCAGCTCAGCGCAGCTCAGGGTGGCTGTCCAGATCGGCTCTGGTCTGTCCCTGAGTTAAACAGACCCAAATTCAGTTACAAAGAAATTGCCATTTGGGGAGAAGTTTGGCCAGCTGGCAGCTTCTCCCCAGCGATTGGATTCCTTCAGTCCCCTGGCAGCGCACGTCCTGCTCCTCGCGGAGGCTGCCGTGCGTTTTTTCCCAGGTCAGGAGTTCCTTTGGCTTTATGGCAGCCCTGGGCACAGCAGGACCGGCCTTGGTGGGTGCTCAGGGACCACCCCTGGCCTCAGCTGTGCTCCTGCCCGGCCCAGCCACCGCAGCCGTAGTGCCAGCACGGGCAGGGCACGGAGCCTGGGCTCAGCAGCGCTGTCCCGGCCGTGTCGCCCGGCCCGACGGACCGCCCTGGGTGTCCACCCGAGCGCTCTGGCCTGTGCTGCACCTGCCCCACGGGCAGCCCCTTGCCCCCCTGCCCTGGGGCCAGGTTTGTTAAGGTGCTTTATCCCCCTTTGATTTGTCTAGATTCACGCTTGAGTCCCCCCCCGCCCCGTTTAAGGATGGGTTATGTTTTCTCTGCGGGCCCAGCCTCGGAGCCCCGGTGTCCCCCCGATCCCGGACCGTGCTGGACATAAAACCAAACCGGCTGCTCCGTGCCCTGCACTCTGTGTGGAAAAGGAGGCCTGGGGAGGGGGCAGCAGCAGTCTCCTGAGGAGGCCTCTGAGTGTTGATATCGTCTGTCATTAAGGGTATATTAGAGATGTGCTCTCATTAGTGCAAGGAGACATTTTTATTTGGCCTTACTCGGTAGGTTGTGGTAATAATGAAAGCTGTGTAATATAGTCGGGTTCTTTTCTTTCCTGATTTCTCTGCCAAAGACAGGAACAGACACAAGAGCTTGAAATAGGGGGTTTTGTAAGACAGTTGATGATTGTAAACAGTGGTTAATCTTCCAGAAAGCTTTCCACGTTCTTCCGCAATAAGCAGAGCGGGATGTTCCGGCAGAGCCCTGCTGGCAGATGCCACCACTCCTCACCGACACGCAGTTGTTGTAACCCAGGCGCCGAGTACACCTGCATTCCTCAGTCCAGAGGCAACGAGGGGTACGTGAGGCCATGGCAAGGGCACAGCGGGGCTGGCACGAGCTGCTCCAGCTGGCTGGAATTTGCCAAGGTACTTGTATTATGAAATTTAAGGTCTATTTTATTATGTCATTTTATGTCATTTTTTAACTTTGTGGAAGGTGGTATGTTGAACTGAGTGTAAGCTGAGTTTTTCAGACAAATAAAGTAGCTAAAGAGTGAATGTTATTTTATCATTAAAGGGTTTTTACTCACTGATTTGTGCCAATAGATGTCCTTTATCTCAATGACAAGTATTACATTGCTTTCAAAGTTTTATTTATAGCTATTGATGTAAAACCCACACACACATATGATTTGCCAAAGTTCAATAAAGGAGGAAAACGATGCTTTTGCTTCCTTGTGCAATCAAAAGTTCCTGATTTTTTTCCCAGGGTTTTTTCCACAACAACCCCATCCCACAGCAAGGGGTGCAGTGGAGCCAAGCAGGGGCTCGGGCTGCTGCAGCTCTCAGGGATAGGGAGGGGTGAGGAGAGTTGAGCACAGCCAGACTAATGCAGGCCCCAGTGCAGGACCACATCCCAAAAATGTTACCTGGGGCTGAGGGCCTGGCCAAGCACGAGCAACACTACTTGGAAAAGGATCCGGCACCTTCTCCCACCAGCACAGCCGGTGTAGCTGTGGTATTACAGGAGAAATCACTTTATGTTTATGCATGTCATGGAATTATATGATGCAATGTAATTACCATAGAATTATGTTAGTTATTGCACTTTCTTTCCCTGAAGCAGCTCTCCGGGAAGAGGCAGGAGGTTCCTGGAGCTGAGATTCCATGGCAAGGAGGATGTAGCAGGTTTGCCTTCATTCATTCATTCATTCATTTAGTCAGTTACTTCCCCTAGCTGTGGACAAGTCCTGTTTGTTTTGTTTCCTCGAAAAAAAGCAAAACAAAGCGTACAAGAAAAGCACTTTGTTGTATTTCTGTCTTTAAAAACAAAACCAAACCAGCCCTTTCTTGCCCTAACTCACTCCTCTGACCACCTGGAGCAGGGTCAGTGTGGGGAAGGTGTGGGGGACCCCAGATCCCCCAGCAGCATCGTGTCCCAGCCCCAGAGCAGTGACAAGGCCCTGTGGGGTTTATTGTCTGGGATCTAACCTTGGCACCAATGTCTAACCTTGGGGTTAATAAACTCACTGAAAAATTTGTTTGCATGCTCATTCTCTTTGTGTCCCTCTCTCGACACTGAGCCAGATTCTGCCATTAATTAAATTTACGCTGCTTCATTTCACTTGGCTGCGTGGCCACGGGTGCAGATATAAAGACAGAGCTGCCTCCTCAGCACTTTGTGTCACAGAGCCCTCTTCCAGCCTCCTTTCCTTCTGGCTCTGGCTGGGCTGTGCACAGGGGGCTCCCACGGAACCGGAGGGGCCCCGAGCCCTCCGTGCCCCCCCGGCCACGGGGCTGAGCCAGAGGGAACGTGCTGGGGGAGGAGTGTTTCCCCAGGCCCCCTT